TTCAAATACTTTGATACCTCAAACGTGTTCCTGGCCTTGAGTTATTGTATTGAGCAAATAGACATCTTAGAGTAGAAAGTTTTGCAGATGTTGATTGGGTCGGTTCTCCCTCAAATGGTTAGTTTACTTTCTTGGAAGGTAACATTGTCACGTGAAAAAGTAAAAAATAAACAATGGTAGCATGGTCCAATGCTAATGCTGAATATATAGCAATAGCACATACAACTAATAAGTTGACATAGTTACTACACTTTTTTTGAGAAATTGATTTTCCAATTCAACTTCTTTCACAGATATTCTGTGATAATTAGGTAGCCCTTCATATTGTTGTCAATCCAGTATTTCATTAAAATACCAAACATATTAAAGTTAATTGTCACATTATTCGAGACAAAATACTAGCCGGAGATATTACAACTCTATTTGTGAGATCTGAGGATTAACTTAAAGATAAATTCACTAAAGCATTGAGTTGTACTCGTCTTACAGCCATCTATTCTAAGCTTGAATTATATGATAATAATGATATATATAGTGTAACTTGAGGGAGAGTGTTGGGAGTATTACTATGTTATTACTATTTAATATGGTTGCAATAGGTATACCACTTGGATGATATACTCGTCATTTGTATGTTTATGTAATAACTATATATACAAGTTGTTAGTAACAGATAGGTTAAGTTTGACCGTTCTTAGTCTCTCTAATATTGTGTTTATTTAACTCTCTAAACTTAACATCAATCAAAAATTTTCAACCAGCCAACTGTGAGAGTGTATATAAGTTTTATAATAGGGGTATATTTGTCTTTTGAGTAGTCTAGGGTTTTTCTAATTTTCTTGGACTATATATATTCTTGCAATCTAGTTTATTGATTTAGTAGAAAATATTATTTGCACCAAATAAAACTTTCATGGTATCAGAGCCTCCTCTCCCATCAAATCGCAATCCCTAAAGTCACATCCACCATTGCACTTTTCTCACGAGTGTAATAAAGCTCGGTTAGTTGCAAAAGAGTTTTCTCAAGAATATGGTATTGACTATAACGAAAATTTTGCTCCTATTGCCAAAATTACTACTGATCGTACCCTGATTTCTGTTGCAACAGTTCATCAATGACCTCTATTTCAACTTGATGTTAAAAATACATTTTTGAATGGGTATCTCAATGTAGAGGTTTATTTGCGCCCACTTCCTAGTATTTATCATCCTACTAGTTATGTTTGTCGCTCGTGTCGGGCTCTCCATGGTCTAAAGCAAAGCCCCCAGAGCCTAGTATGAACGTTTTTAATCTGTTGCTTGTCAGATTGGTTTTGTTTCTAGGGCTTATGATCTTGATTTATTTGTTTGTCGTTCTACCCATGGATTAGTTCTTCTCTTATTATGTGTGGATGATATGATTATCTCTAGTCCTGATATTGTTGTTATTGACAAAGTGAATCGTCATCCTTTAATTGAGTTTGAAACGAATGATTTGAGTCGTGTACGTTATTTCTTAGGTATTGAGGTTGCTTTTTCTCTTAAAGGCTATCTTTTATCGCAGTCTAAGTACGTCAATGAGCTTATTCACTGCATTAACTTTAACAAATAATAAGGTCATTGCTACTCCTATCGAATTAAATGCCAAATTTTCAAGTTCTGATGGTGTTCTTCTTGATGATCCTATATTGTATCGTAAACTGGTTGGTTGTTTGATTTATCTTACCGTTACTCGTCTAGATATTGCATATAAAGTTCATGTTGTTAATCAATTTGTCTTTGCTCCTCGTACTACTCATTGGGCTGCCTTACTTCGTATTTTGTGTTATGTACGCTGTACTATATTTCAGAGCCTATTATTGTCGTCAACCTCTCTAACTTTACATGCCTATGCTGATGCTGATTGGGCTGGGGATAGTACTGATCGCAAGTCTGTCGCTGATTTTTGTGTTTTTCTAGGTGATTCTCTTATCTCTTGGAAGAGTAAGAAATAATCAGTCACTGCTCGTTCTACTACTGCGACTGAGTATCGTGGTATAACACACACTACTGCGAAGATAGTTTGGCTTCGTTGGCATTTAGTTGATATAGGAGTTGTTCTATCCTCTCCAACTCCTCTATACTATGAAAACAAAAGTGCTCTCCAGATTGCCCACAATTCAGTATTTCATGAGCGCACAAAGTATATTGAAATTGATTGTCATTTTGTTCGTCAACATCTTCAGTTGGGCACTATTACTTTAGCGTTTGTATCTTCTTCGCCACAGTTTGAAGATTTTTTCACCAAATCTCACACTTTAACTCGTTTTCAATTCTTATTTGGCAATCTCTCGATGTTATTCGAGCTCGCATCATGAGTTTGATGTGAGAATGTATATAAGTTTTATAATAGGGGTATATTTGTCTTTTGGGTAGTCTAGGATTTTTCTGATTTTTTTGGGCTATATATATTCTTGTAATCTAGTTTATTGATTTAATAGACAGTATCAATTGCACCCAATAAAGCTTTCACCAACAACTTGTATGTCAAAAATCTAAAGGAATTGTTGAACAACCCTTGTCAGAGTTCAAAGGGAAAAACACGCCCAAGTCCTATATCTGCATCCTCACAAATGGTACGCCTAAGTCTTATATTTCTGTCCCGAGAAGCGATAGGTCCCATTAACTTATTATAATACCATATAATGGTAATTTTGAAAATTTCTTGCAGCATGTTGGCATGCAAACCAAGGAACATTAATGACACCAAGGAAGAAAGAAAAATAAGAATGACAAGACATCGGCCTGAAATATATCAAAAAATTCAATCAACCCATTTACATCAAATCTAACTTACTCAAATTTAAAAAAGACAATTCCAATTCAAAAAGTGCAATGTTTTAGTCAATTTGGTAACTTCAGAATTTTTTTTCTCATAAAAATTAATGCATTCGAAGAAACAGCCCGGAATTTATTCCGCAAATGAATTGTAAAACTCTGGCTTTTATTATAATTTCCTGAGTTTTTCTTGTTTTGTCTGGACAGCCAAATTCTTAAATAAGGAGAAGGTTCACCAAACGAATTGTGGTCACTTCAAGGCAAAAATGCTTGCTTATATTGTCAAAACTTCAAAATTGAAAACTTCTGAAACTCTGGCTATTTCAGTATCCTACTACTATGATGAGTCCTATAAAACCATATGTGAGGCAATGCTATTAATCTTAAGAAATGGAACAAACTAAAAAAATCAGGTTGCAAATTTCATAATCATTAGAAAACAATAAATGTTCAACTTAGAGGAAAACGACAACTCCAAAATTGCAAACTAAATACCAATTATGGGTAAAAATATAAAAAAAAAATAGTTAGTCTAGTCCAATAGGGGTAGGTCAAGATGTTTGAAAGATTTTAGACAACTAAATTCTGGAACTGCTTTCGTAAAGGCAGACTTCATGTACCACCAAAAAGTTGACAGGATATGATGTCGGACAGCAACTACATGCCACAGCCAACATATTTTTTTGAGTTCTACTTACAGGAAGTTTGTAGGTTTGTGTCCAATGGTACTCCTTATCTTATAAAGGCTTTGAGGTCAAGGGTTCAAGTCCCCCTCTCCCTTCCCCTTCCCCAACAAAAAAAGGACACAAATTTAGCTTTCATCTTATTTTTGTAGAAGCAACTATAACACTAAATCACTAGATACGCACACACATAAAATTGGAGGAGGAGAGACAACAGCCATTCTATTTTACTTTGCCTAACATTACACAACCAGAAATTAAGAGACAAATAAGGTAAGTAACCTCAGTTAGTGAGACAACAACACAAGGGCAAGCATATGAGTGAGCACAAACACACACAGAGAGAACTGATATTTGTTGGAAAATTTGTGGCACAAAGAGCATGTTCCTAGCTCCTTATCACCCTTCTGCTTAAAAAATAGTAAAAAATAAAACGTCAAAATAGGCTCTTACCTTAAGATGAAAATCAGTGTATTAGCGATATAGGCAACCATTTCCCTGAATAAAGTACCAAGAAATATATGAGCAAACCTTGAAGACAATATTACTAGAGGATAATATACTTATGTATGGTCTACAATGTTCACAAATTACATAATTATTAAACTGCATCTATTGGTAAGATAACATTAGAAACAAAAACTGAAAACACAGATTTGATCTTACAAGCAGAGCCTATTGTAACTTCAGCCTCACCTTACTGCTTTGAGAAGGCAAGGGACTCAACACTCAATTATATTTCTTCATCACATTTTAATTTAAACCAAAAACGAGAAGATATAGGAAACCTATGATATCCCAGAAACTGTACAAGGTTATTATTTACCCTTTATTTCTGGAGAAAAAGTAAGACTAAAAGGCACAAGGCTGCGCATAGTACACAGAGCAAAAGAAACCAACACTCAAAACAAAATTGAGCAACAAAAAACCTATTCTACATGTAAGGGCATCCACAAACACCTAAAAGTTGCGTACAATTTTTCCACCAATCTCCCCAAGAAAAGCAAATTGATATGACCTTCAAAATTTTTAAGGGCCCCGCGGGGGGTTTGACGGGCAACGTTTTTCCATATTACCAACAAAATAACGATCTTAGGACATGAGACGCCCGATAAAGGCACAAGCATATGTAGCTAGTGCCAAAAACTTGTAGGATATAAGAATCAAAAAGGACACCTCCAGTTGGAAAAAATGATGACAGTAAGCAAAGACTAAAACTCGTAGGATATGAGATGCCCCAAGAAAGGCACGAGCATATGTAGCTCGTGCCTAAAACTTGTTGGATATGAGAATCAAATAGGACATCCCAGTTGGGAAAATAATGAAGGTAAACAAGACTAAGTATAGTTTGAAAATAGGCTTCTCGGGAGCAAAACTGTGAGATAGGCACGGAAAGACCAAACTTCTCTTTAGGTTTTCAAATGGGAAAAAAATGAAGAAAATATTATGGAAAACCACACTCAATCATGGACCATCAAGTTACGTAACCAGAAGAAACAAAACAAAAATAAAAACATGAACCTTTATAAATGCCAGACAATATCCTAGAAGTAGAAATTTGAGGACTGGAAAAATACCAAAAATGATGCAAGCTTTGCTGGCCATCACCCTTAAAGGCAGTCCTAGCAACGGCAGAGTAGAACCTGTCCAAGCAATATCATATCAAGACTGTTCATATCCCAAGTTGCACAGAAACTCTGTCAAACCAATTAAAACTTACATCCCCAAAGTCATCACTGTTAAAACACCAGAAATATCAGCTGCCTCTTGAGCCTATCACATAAAAATTGCAGATTAGATGCTCTCGGACAAATGGATAGAAAATTAACCACCAAAAGATTCTTTTCTTCCACAGTTATGTCTTCTTTAACACAAGTAAATCAAATTTGGAAAGGAGGGCTAAGCCAATGTACAAGCAACTACACAAGGTATAATCTCCAACCAACCAAAAAACAATAAAATTAAATAATAGCATTTAAAGTGACGAAAGATGATGCAACCCCTCTACCCTTAAGGATTCAATGACTTGGCCAAGTGCAATACGACTTGGCAAAAACTACAGCCCCGATAACGATACGCTAAACATCAAATCCATGAGTTAGACACAAATTGGCCTTGACTCAAATATAACTACATTGAATCGGTGCAACTCGGAATTGACACGGTTCTCTCGGATAACTTGGGACCAAGTCAGAAGATTTTGTGGAATCACACAGACCAATCACAAACAACAAAGAAGAAGAAGAATTTGGCGAAGCAAAATCACACCAATGCCAACGATTCTTCTTGTTCTTCCATCTGGCGCAATCATAACCCGTTGATCCGTCGACTTCCTTGGTGCATTCATGACTTCTCTCTCTTTCTTTCTTTGTGGGGATGTGTTATGGTGTTAGCAAGAACTCAGAGGATAAGAGCCAAGAGTAAGCGTTTTTTTTTTCTTTTCTTTAGTCTTCTCGAGAGTTAAAGTTGAGTGTTTAACCTACTTAGTTAAAATCTTGTTTAGGTGCACAATTTTGGTTAATTAGGAAATGAATACGTTTCGAAAATGGTTCCAAAACATTTCAAAAGAAGATGAAAATAAAGAAAAAAACTGAAAATTTGTATGCAAAACATTCTAAACCATTAATTGAAACATATCGACATGCGTCAATAGACACATACCAAAACACCTCGAAACAAAGGAATTTCAATATTTAATCACTAATTCGTTTTGATTTCCATAGGAACGAAAAAATAATTCAGGATATTTCAACCATTTAGAAAAGAAATTTAGTTCCTTGGTTATAACCTTATATTAATATAATTATATTGTATTTTTTTTAGTTTATTTGGGAAATGAATATTATATAATGTGGATGTTGATATTCTCTATTAGTTTAACACATTGTTTGATCTATTGCACTAAATAGGTAAACAAATCAATAATATTATTTGAACCTAATTTGGAGAACTTAATTCGAAGACCAAATTTGATGTTGTCAATTGAGTATCAGTCCACCCCATAAACTAATTATTGATTAAGTCCCCAAATCAAATCCCAAATTAGGTCCCACGTGACATTGAATAAAATGTTGTACATATTACAAGTCCACAAGGTGACCAACAAAACTTATGTAATTATAATCCAAACACATTTCATTCGAGAGGCTTGACCGTTGGATAACATTTGAAATATCGAACCTAGTACTCAGGCCACTTGAAACCACAAAGATCAACGATTGAACTAAAGGTTAGATTAGAAATTTAGGTAACTACTAAAACTTTGCAGGTAAACTGTAAAAGACAATGATAATATTGATGATCATGATGCCCAATTATGATAGTCATGACTAACGCTAATCTCCTGAAAACACAAAGAAATGATTTATGTATACATCTAAAGTGTTAGAGTATTCTAGCAGATTAATATTATGGGTAGCTTAGTCATTTACCTTTTTTTTTTTTTTTTTTTTTTTTTAAGATTGCCCGTATTCATATTCTAATGAGAAACCCACAAAAAAATAATCCCAAGACTAAACATTGAAAAAAAATGTAGTATTCTGGCAGGTTAATATTAGAGGTAACCTAGTCATTTAAAAAAATGTAAACAATGATCAAACAAATAGAAGAAATGAGAAGAGAGAACTAGAGAATATATTATGGCTAGGTTAATATGTTACCAATCATACCTAAGATACACAATAGGGACCTTATTTAATCAACAACATAAAACCTGGTAAATGACTATGTTACCCCTAATATTAATCTACCAGAATACTCTAACAGAAAGATTATCCTACAAATATTAACAACATAGCCACTCCAAGTACCTTCAATATTTACCAAATTATTGGTATTATCGTGATGAAATACTACCCGATTCCCATAGTTCTTTAGAAAATGATAACTTGGGGTATAGGGTACAGGTAATTGTTAACAAATTCATGATAGGTTGTGGTTGTGTACTTTGTTATGTTATGTCCTAATGAACACTAGGTAGACATTAATAATTTCATACGTTAAATCAAGAATTGACATATATCCATATATTCATCAAGATTGTATTAATTATCTTGAGTTTTTTTAATTAGAGGTATTCTAGTTTTTCTTGTGGGGTTTTATTTTTATCTCTTTTTTTCCCAATAAGATTGGATTTTATAGTATCTCTTTTCTCTATCTCATATGATGGAATTTTAGAGAATAGCTAAAAGCATTTTTTTTCCACTTCTCCTATAGTTTCATTTAAGCTTTCAAGATATTGGAGTCAATTTCGATTTGCGAAGGGTAGGCATTGAAGCATTGGTAAGGTTGCTTCATTGTGATAGTCAAGGATTCGAATCGCGAAAACAACCACTCCACATGCCGGGGTAAGACCGCATACATTTGACCCTCGCTAGACTCCGTGCACTAGGCCGCCCTCAATTTGTTCTTCCTCTTTACCATAGTCTTTTGTCTCGGTAACTTTATTATTCAACCCCTCCAAGCCATCATCTACATGATTTCTTGCATCATTGCTTCAAATCTTTGTCAAAGACATTCAGTATCATTTGGCCAACCCTAAAGCATGAAATCTTATTCAAGGATATGACTTGTTCCTCATCTATCATTTGTTATCCATGTTTGATTGAAAAAACTAAGGGGCTCAATGGAACTATTCAACAGTTCTCGTGTACATACACATTAGCTAAATGGTGTAGTTAAGCAAAAGCATAGACGCATCATGGAGATTGCTCACCAATAGTTGTTCTCGGTGCCTTTTTCCATTTCTCTTTTTGGAGAGGAACTGTTCCCATAAGTGTTCACCTAATTAACTTGATTCCTTCTGTTATTAGGTCAAGTGTTTCTCCTCCTTTCAAACGATTATGAGGAACCTCCTGACCAATTCTCTTTCCATCTATTGTGTTGTACTTATTTGTTCTTCTTCCTAATCTGGACAGAATAAGTTACATGCTGTTATTCTGCTAAGTGTATTTCCCTTGTTTATTTTAATGGACAAAAGGCATATTGTTGTTATGATGCTACTGCCAAAAGATTGCATGCATCCAGACATAGAGTCTTTCCTTGAGCATATTTCGTTCTTTCTACTCATGGCATCTTCATTAAAGTTGTCCTTAGTTATATTGACCATTTTCCTAATGTTATTTCTAGTGATTCTTACATGTGTGGCATGCTTCCTTTTGACATTCAATCTCGTCTCAATCTTCCTCCTATTCAGTGGTGTTGCTCCTATCTTGGTACTTATTCTCGCAAGAACAAGACTGGCTACTCTCTAGGTAAAACTCTTTTACCTCTCCGAACGGCATCTCCATTAGTTTCTGACGATGAAGATCCTTACTTTTCTCGCTATCTCAATCACATTGTAAATATCCTGAACGTCTTAGTTTTTTCAAATAGTTGCAATTCCTTTGGGTTTTCTGGGTTTTACTCTTTTTCTCTCAGTCTATACCTACCTCACATAGAGACATTGCTCTTGATCGTATTTGTCAACATGTTATGAATGAAGCATTCTCTACATTACATAAAACTCAGAGATAAGATCCTGCACATTTATCTTCTGCTGAGCATGCTATTGGTTGTCAGAAGACATAAAACTCAAGCTGATGATTCTATTGAAAGATATAAAACAAGATTGATTGCTAAGGGTATGGCACAAGAATGACATTGATCATATGACGATGTTTAACACTGCTGCAAAGATAACCAAATGTTCATACTTTGATAGTCAACAAATCTTTTGTCAATATAAGTTATCTAAAATGGATGTAACAATGAATTTTTGATTGGTGATTCGGGCTAAGTTTTTATGGTTCCTCCTCGATGTCCCACACGCTCCAGGTGATGTATGCAAACTTCGAAAATCTTTGAATTGTCTCAAATAGGCTCCTCGGGCTTCATTTGAAAAACTCTCCATTGTGATCCATGGCTTGGGTTTTCGTCCCAGTCATCAGGATTTTATGCTTTTTTTCTTTGTTCGAACTCCATTGGTCAGGATGTTCTCCTCTTATATGGTAATGATATAATCATTACTAGAATTGCCTTTGAAGACTGTTTTTGCCTTAGAGTCTCAGTTACAGCAACAGACGGAGATGAAGAACCTTAGTCCCCTCAATATCTCTTGAATTAATGTGATTTCGCCCCTAAAGGTTATATTCTTTCCCAATCAAAGTATATAGTTTATGTAAAACACTAGGATTGACTAACATACTCTCAGAATTTTTTTAGGCTCCTCTTAAGCTTACATTACACTTATACTAATGGTAGTCCTTTGTTGATCGTAGCTTGTGTTGTTGTGGGCAATTCAGTATGCCTCATTATTACAAGACCTGGCATTGCCTATGCCACTCATTTTCTACATCATTTTTTATACTTCAGCTACAGCTGATTTGCCCCTAGTTCTTTGTATTTTATGATATCTTCAAAACATTTTACATCAGAGTTTCTCGTTTCTTCCACTTGTTTTTTGAAGTTTTGTACTTTTCTTATCCTAGCTAGGAAAGTGATGTCATAATTCGTAAATTCACAATTGGTTTTTCAAATATTTCATAGTGATTTTCTTATCTCTTGTAGAAACAACTAAGAAGACCATCATCGCACATTCCACTAAGGTTAAATATCGTACTAAGATTATAATTACATCGAAGATAGGTTAGTTGACTATTGCTAAGCCATTTAGATTTCACACAATTTTGTTTTCCATGAACGGACCATCCATATTAAGATTCAGTGATTCACCATTATTTTGATGTCATCATTCATCGGCTTAGGACTATTTCTTTACTTTTTGCTTCTTGCGCTAAGCAATTGGTTTCTTCAAGAGGTCTCACTGAAGGTGGCATTCCATTTCCTGACACATCATGAGCTTAAGGAGGTGTTAATATTGTATTTATATTTTTTGTTATTTTCTTAACAACAATCTAGCTATCAGGTTTTGTATCCACTTTGTACCTATTTTCACAAGATAAAAAAATTGAGAGTAGCTGACAGATCTCTTTTCTCTCTTGCATTCGTAGAGTTTGATCTAAGCTTTCAAAAGTTATAGGATACATAAAACCAGAAAAGCCAGTTTGAAGGGTAGAAAGCATCACAATTTTAGGAGAAAGAAAGGAAAAGGTAACACAGTAAGCTACTATACAAAGCTTCTAGCATTGTGCTTCAGCCAAAAAAAGGGAAAAAAACACAGCTTTAATAGTTTCATCAATTACTTGAAATCGAACTTAGCAAAAAAAAAAAAAAACCTTGAAATCGAATACTAAAAGTTCAATTATCCAACAATTAAGTAGCAGTTATGACTAAAGGATATGTTACACAAACAGCAAAAGATTGTCAATTCTTTTAAAAAAAACAAATTGAAGTAATTAGCTGGAATAGAATGTAAATTTTCATATAAGCTATAACCAATACTGCCAGAAAAAATGCAGCAGTAAAAAGAGGTAAGAATGCAAAGCCAGATGAAGAATTGAGTTGCAAAAAACTATGATCCAAGATTATCCAAGTAATTGCTCCAATTAATGGCAATCCTCTTTGTCAGACTGAATCCATACTTGAAAATTATGCAATGCACCAATGATTCTCTTTATTAGGAGGGAAGGACTAAAAAACTCAACAATCACTTTAGCAGAGGTCAGGTAACTGATGCAGAAAATTGGTTTAAAAATACTAAACGCATTAAGTAATTAGAGGGTGCAACATAGATATTTGTAGACTTCAACATAGCTCCTCATATGCGGGCTAGAGTTTGGACCAAGCACGTGCAAGTACCGTAATCATTGGTGTAATGGCAAGATTCAAGCGTAGGAAGTCCAACTATGCTACTATCTTGAGCATCGAACTAAAACAAATTGGAATGATTGGAGAGACTCTCGAGGCCCATGCACTAATTTGTGAGACACTGCTATGCCAATGTGGGATGATCTCTAAAAATACTCCTTCACACATGCCCCATTTGCACATGGAGAGATAAATGAAATAATCCCAAAACATAATTAAAAACACAGCAAGTAGTAGTTATGGCATGGGCAAGGGGACAACAATTACCAAATCTATGAAATGGAAACAGAGATTCCCCAATACGGCTCTGATACTATGTTAAACATCTATCTAATATCACCTAGGAAATTGAATTCTTAACTTATAAAAGCAAAAAAACAATCAAGATTGATTCAATGGCACAAAATTCATGCCAAAAAAATGTTTCCCACTCAAAAACATCATCATCTCTCCACAGCCCCCAATATCAAACAACTCAATTAAATACTTTCCAATGCCAAATAACCCCACTAATCCGCACCTACCTCTCTCCTCTCTCTTTTCTCTTTCCTATCTCTTAAATTTTCTCTCTGTTTATTTTAATTTTAAATTATATAATTTAAAAAATAAATTAAAAAATAAATCTTATTTAAAATATAAACGTGGCACGATCAACACTCAATTTTTGGCATCATAGAGTGTATTCTGGTATGGGATTATTGCTAGTAAACTCATGTAAAATCTTAAGCAGTTAATCTTCTTCAACAAAAATTCAACTTTAGCTCAAGAAAGCAGCAATCGCAACACAGGAATTCATCTCATTAAAGATTAATTATACATCAGAGATGCTGAAAATATTTTATATGTAAAAGTCAGGAGTTCCAAGATTGGGAAGGTTCATACAGTGAAGTAAGCAATGTAGCTCACAGCAAGTGTAAGTGTAATCTCTATCACAGTATCATTGAATATAAATCCAAGCCACAAAACGGATGCTATTCCAAAAGCAAGGCCTAGCCCTAAGCTGCACCATGAAAAGTGTCTTGTCAGGCAACTTATATTTGCTATTGTTATTCATTGAAAGTAAAAAAGCACTTACACCCCAAGAGAATTTTGTGCTAAAAACTTGATTATGGTCCCCCAGTTAAAGCTCGAGCCAAGGACCATTCGATAAAATAGTTGATAGACCACAATTGCCGTCCTATAAAAAGAAATCTAGCTCATAAATGAAACCAAATATGTTAAAGTTGTGAAAAACAAATGAAACATCAAAAGACAATATAGTATTATTAAATCAACTACCAATATTATGTGATTCACTATTAAAAAAAATTCTGATTTAATTAGGAGCACTCTTAATTGTACCCGTCATTCATCAAGGATTCTCCTTCAATTATTGTACTTAATTTCTTGCTTGCACCAAGCTCTTTCAGAAGGGCCACAACAGCCACAGGATCAGTTGCACTAAGGAGTCCACCAAGCAACAATGATGTTGTCCAGCTCCAGTCATATGGAAAAGTGAGCTACAGTATGTTATCATTTTAGATGATATTAAATAAAAGCGCTACAGACAAAACATCCAAATTCTGCAAACCTTTAAAGCAGATCCAAGAAAAAAGGTTGAAATGAGAACACCAGGCACAGCAAGTAGAAGCATTTGTACCATACACCGCTGCATTGGGAATACAAATACAATTGTCTCACTAAGGATCAACGAAAATCCTAAAACATTAAGGAACAGATAGCATCATCATCGGCTAACAATGATATCGAACCAAACATTTGAAAGAAAACAAGACATGCAAGCATGCAGCAATAGGAAAACATTGTAGGGACAAGAAGTGAGGCCAAAGGCCACCATTTAAAACAACAATGCTGACACTTCTAGTCACGTTTTCATGTTTGACCAGCAACAGTTTTGTGTTAGATTGCAATGATTGATGGGTGTAATCGATGGCTGCCAACTGGGCCTCGACTAGCATCTTGCCACAAGTCTGCTTCTTTAAAGGAATTGCCATTTTCCACCGAAGATCATGATTACAAATAAATAGTTCACAACACGGCTTACAAGACAATACATGATGATCAAAAAATATTTCCCAACACTAACATAAATCAAGTTGTCCCTTTTTTTGAGGTAACAGGAAACAAAAAAATAATAATAAGAGACAAAAAAGTGGGGTTCCAATGATAATTGTAATGAGCTTTACAGTAGGAAAAACAGTTTAAGGGTAATTAGGTATCGAGTGAATGATACTAGAAGCCCAAACCTTGACAATCTATTTACCAATTCTGATGAAGGCTTCCAAGCCATCATAAGTAGGGTGCAATTTGAGTGGTTCAATCCAAACCCAACCTGAAAAATTCAGTATTTGGGCAGATATTTTCAACAATTGAGTTGGACTTGGGCAAAAAAACCTGAACCCAACCAAGATTCAAGCAGCACTCGGGTTTGGGTATCTTGGACCCAACACTCGAACATAGTCCAAATTAGTGAATTCAGAATGCGGACTCTAACTTCAGCACAAGTTAACCAGAGAATCCAACCTAAACTGAACCAGATTTTTCATCCAAAATTTAACCCAAATTTAACCCAAATTCCAACATGAATTATGCCATGTTCAAAAAAACATGGACAATACTCGGGGTTGAATTATTCGATTCAGGTTGAGCTCGGGCCAGAGGTTTTATATCTTGGATTGAGCCTGTGTTAACCTCTCAACTTGCCCACCCTTTATCATAAGGAGTCTTCCAAGGTGGTTCGAGACAGTCTTTGAAGGCAAACGTGTCTCTCAAGCAGAAAGTGCCTTCTTTTCAAAATGAAAGCTTCATATTAGGATTAACGAGGAACCCTCTCTACTAGTAAAATTATTTGGTTTGCATGTAAACGTACTAAGCAAAACTAAACGAATTCATTCCTTCTTTTCACCTACACCACAAAGATTCAAATCATGTTATGTATAGAAAACAGAACAGAAACAAAGAAGTTTCCAATGATAAACTCGTAACAGCTAGCAGACATATTTCTGGCGTCTATCCTTCTTCAATCATGTGTCATTTAAAATTATCACCAGTCCATTTCCAATGATGCTCTGCAAAATGAATAAGAAATAATTCTGATGGAGGACAAGAAGAGGAAGAAATAAGAGAATAGAAAAGAAGAATCAGAGAAGGAGGAGTGAAAAGGCTTTACCTCATCCTCACAAGGAATAGGTCAAGAGAATAGACCATGGAACCCTTTTCTCCCCTCAAGGGTTGTATATTTTTTTGGGTTTTTTTGGAGGCCAATACAATCTTATAATTTAATACGGCAATAGGTTCAAGCACCTTTTTCTCTAGGTCTTTAAGGACAAATTCATTTATCCTTATTTAAATAAAAATAGAAAGTTTAATAATAACATATAAAATGCACAATTTAAAATTCAAATAAAATCAAAGCTCCTTCATTTTAGGTCTTTCATAATTAGAACTCTTTCTATCTCTCTTATATATATAGAAAGTTTAATTATATCCATATAAAATCCACATTTCAAAATTCAAAATAAATTCAAATCTCTTTCATTTTGGAACTTTCAAAATTTAAATATATACATACACACATATATATACAAAAATAAAGAACACATATTACAACAATAAAGACAACATATATGTGTGTGTGTGTGTGTATCACTTCCTGGGATAGTGATAGCGCCATTGTCACTGTCTTGGACAATGAAAAAATCCCACTATTACTGTCCTAGGACACCAAGGAGAGTGAAAATACCCCACTCCCACAGTCCCAGTTACTCAAACGCCTATCCCACAAGAAATTAATCAAACGACTATCCCACAAAAAGAACACATACCAAAAATAAGAGAAATTTTTCACAATAGAAACTAATAAATATACACAAACCTCTTTAAAGATTACAATCTCAACAACAATACTTGTGATATATCGAAGGACAAGACTGATGACACTCCTTACTACAAATGATGAGCCAATATCCACATTGATTTGAACTTAAACTGGCTTAACAAGATGCGTTAAAAATAGTAATAAAAGGTTTAGATCGAAGGCGTGACATGGAAGAGTGAGGAGATAGAAGCAGTAGGATGGAATTGAGAGGAGAGAGAATGAGTGTGATGAAAGAGAAGAGAGAAATTTAAATAAAAAATATAAGAGATTGACTCAGAGAAAGGATACAAAAATTGAAGGAAAAGAGAGGAGATTGAAGGAAAAGAAAGGAGTTAGAAATTGAATGAAGAGAGAGGAGAGAGAAAGTGATGAAAGAGATATTGGAGAGAGAATGAGTGGAATGGAAGAAAAAGGAGAGAGTAATTTCAATAAAAGGTAGAAGAGAGATTGACAAGAGAGAGGATAAAGAAATTAAAGGAAGAGCGGAAGGAGAAAGTGGGACAAAATGGATAGAGAGGAGAGAGAATAATTTAAGGTCAAAGTAGGAAATAAAAAATAATAATAATAATAAAGAAAAAATCCTATAGATCTGCTTACCAAGTAGTACATATCATGTGTCTTTAATGGCCCAAAAAGTTTGTGCTTGTATTTATTGGCAAAATAGATTGTCATATTATACTTGCTTCTAATTTTCACCATTTTTTTCATATATATAGGTTGGACAAGACTTTGGGTTCGACAAAGGTTACTAAATATGGTTATTGGGTTATGGCCAGTACTAAATCCGAGTTGAACTGGTCCTCGTTCTTTTGTTTTATTTGGTTTATGGCTTGGAAAATGGAATTGGGTTGGGTTGGGTCAATAAAACGTGGGAAGAGGACGTCTTCTTCCAACAAGGTCACTTGTTGGTTGGCATGATTGACCCCTAGCAATATTTGCTGCTTCTCGTCATCAAAATTTTTTTGCAGTTCTTGGGTTATCAATGACCAGAAGGCAGCCCTCTTAATAGTTAATAGTCATTTTTTTTTTAAAAAAATCTTGGCTTTGTCCTAACCGCATACTAGCTGTATCCCGGCCAGGTCCGACTGAGTTTACTATTTAGGACACTTCTAGCCAAGTCGGACTCGTGTTCGGCCGTATCTGGCGTTTGTTCATGTCAAATGAAAATTATGGATGTTTATTTTAATCGACTTCAATTTTAATCAAAAAAATTAACATTTGCTAGATTTTATCATTAAATATTGTTATAAAATGTGTGTTTTCCTTAATATATTATAATTCTATTATTATCTAAAAATATATTATAATATATTAAGAACGCATCCGTGTCCTATATTTTTTTAACTTTATCGTATCTCTGTATTCGTACCATTTCAAATACGACACTTGTATCCATATCCATGCTTCTAACTTTTATTAATATCACTCCATTTATATTTATAGGCTAAATCCTATAAAGTACAAACACTCTCAAGAAGGTGATGTGTCTATATCAAATACGTGTCGGATATCGACACTCTCGGACACGTGTCTGATACTCTTTGATCTGTATGCATAATTAAATAATAAAATCTTAATTTCGGACACATGTCCCAACACTTCTTTAGTGACATGTTCATCACTTCTTTAAACCGTGTCTACTACTAAACAATAAATTTTTGTTTAACAACATTAAAAATTTGACTATTAAGTATCTTATATTATGACAGAACATATAATTACCAAAATTAGACATGTTAAAATTATACTCAAAATATAATAATAGAAGCAAAAGACACATAAAAGATTTAAAAAAGAGCAATCGAGATGAGAGGAATCATTTAAATTATATATGTCCAATACGCGTCTAAGAAAAAATTGATAATTATTCATTATTATGATGTTAGCATAAATATTCACACTAAATGACTAGAGATAACATTTATTTATCATAAAACACTGAACCTAATCCTCATATTAGGGAGAATCTCAATGTGTTTACTAATTGTATAATTTGAGAAACCACTGAACTGAAGGTGAATAGTGGCAAGAAGACTTTCTACTGGATTAGGTATCGGCTGTCCAAAAGAATTCAAAAGTAGATTCCCATTGAAACCTTATCTTTCTTGTGTGAATATTGTATTGAGGACTTGTGACAAAGCCTATCCCTTCAAGCGATGGAGCCTCGGACACCTGCTTTCACTCGGGACAGCACTTTCCATCCGATTTTCAAGGCGCGAGATGCTAAGAAAACTTGAGTGCAAGCGTTCCTCGCTAAGCACAATTATCTATAACGTATCCGAGTCCTATTTTTTTGAGATTTGTCGTGTCTATGTCCAGTCCGTATCTATATCTATGTCGGTATCTGTATTCGTGTCCGTACTTCCTAGGCTAAATTTCATACCAAAACAAGAACTATTCTCCTATTAAAATTCTAAAAGAGTTTCATAATCAAATTCTCAAACTATTCTCCTAGTAAAACTCTATCTAAATCTCCTAATCAAACTCTTTTAAATAGTTTCGTAATCAAAGAAATACTTCCTAAATAATTTAATAATGCTAATAAAATAAATAATAAAGTAAAATTCTTCAAGTCAAACTTATCCAATTTTTTTTCGATCTTTATCAGATACCCTATCTCAACATTAGATTGTATATTTTGTATAGAGCTTATATTTAGAATAATAGGCAAAAAAACTAATAAATAAATCTTACTATTTGTACATTTTAAGGGTACTTCAAATATTCATTTACCAATAGCTATCTAGACCTTATTATAGTCTTTTGGCAAGTCTAGAGATTATATATCAGTCTAGCAACTAGTAATGTTTACCCTTAGTTTATACAAATTTGTCTATGCATGCCTATACTGTTCAAAGTTTTACAGTAAGCTAGGTAGTTCTCTAGAGCAACGAAGAAAGATAGGACTACATTACGCCAGCCCCCAACACACACACACACAGAGGGACAAAGGCAAATAATCACTTCCCTCATCAAACTCAATTGCTCAGGATGAGAAAGAAAGTAGAGAAAAACCACCTTTATTTGGTGTATTTCCATAGAAAATGAACTCTCAAAAAGAAGAGCAGGAAGGAACACAGCCAACAAAAGGTTGGGATCAATATTTGCCCCTGTCATCAACAACTACAGTGTCAAGGTCCTTAGAATAGTTGATAATTTAACAATGAGAGTATATTGTTCTATCAAAATTTATTGGAAAGCATCAAAACACTCATCTCATGCCAATTATAGAATGAACTTACAAAGACGAATGCCATCACCAATCTTTCCTAACCGGTGACTTGTACCATATTCTGCATATTTATCAGTTAGTCAGATTCTAAAATGAACCAAAATAAACACAAAACACGAATATATATGGCATTGTTAGCAGAAAAAATATGTTCGTTAGATAAAATGGCTAATAAAACAGAGGGACCGATAAATAAATAAGTTCAACTGTCGGCCCTATTTTTAGTCCGGAAGGCCCTCCCACCTCCCCCCAACCCTCAACAAAAAAGAGAACATAAAAGAATACCATAGGGAGAACACTTCCGTGCCAGTTACTGTATAATTAACTGGCAATATTGGCATCATGCACAGCCAACAATTTATTAATTAGAGTTAAATTGTAAAGTATGTTGCATATCAAGTATTTGTAAGTTTTGTATTTGCGTATATTGATAATCAAAGCTTGAAATAACCGACGAGATTTATTTTTCCAAATTCATTGAATAAGTGAAAGTGTCATTTTACGAGACAGGAAGGCTAAACGGGATAATCCTAAAACAATGTTTACATATTGCTCTCTTTTGAAAAGTAAATAATGAAGTCAATAAAAAGGATAATGACAGGTATCTCTTCATTGCACAACCCCAAGAATCATGCCCCCATATTCTACGCAGCAGATAGACCGTGCAGTGCCCTTGCCCCAACATCCTCCAGTCAAGAGAAGCCTAACAGCCATATGAACCTTTGTGAATGACACTTGTGTGCAAATATGGTTATACAACACACTGACAAACACATCTAGTTGGCATGTCTAACAACTAAAATCCGCACATTATTGACACCTAACATGCATACAAGATGTTGGGAGAGATAGATAGCATGCTCGCATAACATTATCGATACAAGCATACAGATACCCAAGAGGCTTCTGAGCAATAGCATAATCAAGCATCAAGACTTGGGAACACAAGTAACACTACCAACAAGCTGCTGCCCAATACATAGGCTGTAGATACAAAAATAGCGTGATGGGCTAAATAAAAAGGCATAGCAAAATAAACTGTCCTGGAATGGGGTCTCATCTCAAGCCTGTGCCTTCTAGTCCATCAAACATGGCAAAGCCAAAGCCTCATATACACATGACATATAGTATTGTGTAGTATAATTCAGGGGATCCTAAACACAAAGATTGTAGAGAAATTGTAAATACATCCAGAGCCTGTTGTAACCCTTCAAACAGCTCAATTAGTACCCCACATGGCACCAGTGGCGGTAGGACCCAGTTCATCCTTCTCAGCATCCGCTTAATGGGAATTACTTCATCCAATTACGGAAGGTATAGAAAACCATGAATATTGCATTTTTGACATAAAAATAAGTAAAACATAAAGAAGAAATTCAAAGAAAAGTGAAAGATGTGATTGGTAAACCTAAAGATCCCATGCCAATGCCGAGCACAAGCAAAGCCACTGTATAAGGCACCCGAGTCCCTCTGAGTACATGCCTACAAGCAATTCCTAAAACCAGACTAATTCCAACGAATATCACCGCGTCCGTCGGATTCGAAGACAAACTCTGCTCTTCAGAAACCTTAAATGGCAACGGCCCTTCCGCAATCGACGCCATTTCTTCCTCTTTTAATCCAAATTCCCCAACCAGTTCTGCACAGAGATAAAAAATCATGTCGACAGGAGTACACTTCGTGTGTGTGCGTGTATGTACATCTATATAGCTATATATTCTTGTGTATAGAGAGAAAAAAGGTAGATATATCGATCCAAAAGTGAACTAAATCCAGTTCGACAGTGGAGCATCTGCTGTCCTTGTAGTTGCATATATATATGTTCATGCTCTTCAGGGTGACTCAACAGGGGCTTAAAGCGTTATTTTTAAACGAGCCTTTCTATATTTAGTATTAATATTTTTTACTTAAAATTAATTTTTCTTTCTTTTTGAGTTGAAAAAGTATTAATTAAAATTTTATATTCAAGTTTTTCTATCATATCTTTTTCAATTGATAGTATCACTGATTCAGTTAATTTTTCTTGTGATATAGTCGATCTTAAATAAAATTTCATCAATTTTAATTTTGAAAAGCTTCTTTTCGCAGAAGCAATTATTACAGGAATTGTTAATAATATTCTATAAGCAATGCATGTATTTGAAAAATAATCTAACTTTTTATATAATTTAGTATCTCAATTGGAGTTTTTTCTTTTGTTTGTAAAATTTTTTTTAAAACATTTAGTTTTAAAAATAAATTTAAACCATCAATATCAAAAAAAAATTCGTGTTTTAAGAAACATTCGAGATCCAAACAATATTGTTTTAATCTATCATTAGTCAATGATTTTAATTTTTCTAAGTAAAATCAAAAATCAAAAATATTTTCGTACTTTTGTAATTGTTCAAATCTAATTTTTAGTGAAGAAATAGTTTGATCAATTATATATGTAAAATAATCAATTTTAAAAGATTCTTCGATAAATTGTGTTACCGAGTCAGTCACCTGAGTGATTTGTGACAGCGAGTTCTTTGTTGTAGCACTTGGCAAAAAAAAAATGATCTATGAGGAATAAGTTTTGTGAGCTCTTAAGTCTTGAGAGCAATGTGAGAGAGAGAGGAAGAGGGAAAAAGAAGAGTTTAATTTTTTGTTTCAATTTAATGAGAAAGAGAGAAAGAAAAAAAATTATTTTTGTATAGTTGGTTTGGTTGGTTTAGAGAGAGAGAGAGAGATGGAGTGTTAAAAAGAATATATGATTTGATTTTTAGATTATTTTGGTGGTTTTGATATGACTTTTCAGTTTTTTTTTTATATTGTTATTTTTTTTTTAGATATTTAATGTTTGGATTGAATTATGGACCTAAAATAATTGATGGGACTTATATTTTTGTAAGATTTTTTTTACATAGATTATTTTCAATGTTTAAAAATTCGGGCCTTCCTTTGAAATGGGCCTAAAACCCATGCTTTTTTACACCAACTGTTGGGCCGGCCCTCTGTGTGTGTGTGTGAGTAGGTGGGTCGGTGGGAGAGAGAGAGATAAACGTGAAAACTGGGAGCAGTATGAAAAGTTTGGTCAAAATAAAACGGGAGAAATACGGCCACCATTCTTGAAATTGGTCAATATGACATACAAATCCTTTTAACTATGTACGACAGTATGAGTGTTACACTCAGACTCGCCAATGTACATTGATAAATTATATTTAGACCCAATAAAATTTATAAACGTGTAATATTTAGATTTTTTAAATTTAAAATATTATATTTAAATCAAAACCATTATAATTAAAAGTAAAATATCAAATATTTTAAATTTTATAATTAAAACTTATGTTCTATTATGACATTTTATTAAAATAAAATCAAAAATAAAAATCTAATTTTTTTTTCAAAAATTATAATTAGTATAGAATTATATTATTTATTAGAACAAAACTAAAAAATGAAATAAGAGGTTAAACTGTAATAGACACAATACCTTCTAACTTTAATTGGGGTAATTTGGTAATTTAATTTGATTATTTAAACTACCAAATTAAATTTAAATAAATAGTATAATTGTTTAATAATTTTATTTGTGAAGAAAAAATTAGATTTTTATTTTGATTTTATTTCAATAAATCTCAAACTAGGACATGAATTTTAGTCGTAAAATTTAAAATATTTAATATTTTATCTTTAATTATAATATTTTTTATCTAAATATAATATTTTAAACTTTGATTAGAGTATTTTTTTTATCTAAATATAATATTTTACACACTTACAAATTTTAGGAGGTCTAGGTGTAATTTACTAACAAGTATATTACCGACAATAAAAATATAAGTGTTACGCATATATAAATTTCAAATGATGAAAATAAGTTAGGGTGACTGTATGTATTATGCAATGTGCTTTCAAAATTTTGTTAATTTGTACGAACTTAAATTACTTATTATTATGGCATAAAATATTAAAATACACGGGCAAGTAATCTATGGTTGCTGATTATTATAAGGAAATTTTATGCTTCAAATTACAACTACAAACAATATTTTATTTTGTCTTCCGTTGGAGGTGAACTTAAACAGTTGAATTACCATTTTACCCATAAGAAAAAATAAAAAACCAAGTTAGCCCATTTATTTATATAACAAAATAGATCCTTTTTTCAATGGATACTCTCCATAAATATAATGAAGTCTATGATTAACTTAGAATTGATGTAATAACCCAAAATCTCTCCTCCAATATTATTTTTCCGACAAAATATCCTTCAAAATTTTACCCTTCTCACGTCATCAATCATGCGCATGATTCTCACATTTGACAATGCGTGTTTGGATCACCCCGACACCCTTGCTAGAAACGTAGAGTTGTAATTAAATTGACTTACAGAAGTAGAGTTAAATATCTAAATTAATTATTTTATAGTTAAATATCTAAATTACAATCATATTTTTATGTATTTAAATCTACAAATTACTCTGTAACATCTCTTTTAATTCTTAATTATTTTTATATAAATATTAATATCTATGAAAATTTTTAATTGACTATGTTACCCTTAAAAAAATATGTGAATCATTATAGTTTTCAATAAAATGTTCAAAAACTTCATCAGTAAATCATTAATCTTTTTAAATATAAAGATAATATTATGCATATATGTGTGTGTTTTTTTCCATCTATTGTAACTAATAAATAATGAAACTTTTGTCTTAGCACGAAAAACTTTTTATTTAGTATTTTATGCTTATAAATAATTTTAAACACCACACTATCCTTCCGTAGTTGAATACCTAAATTACCATCATATACTTATGTGTTTAAATCTTCAAATTACCTCTAACATCTCTTTTAATTCTCTATTTATTATGTATAAATATCAGAATCTATGAAACTTTTTAATTGACTACATTACTCTTAAAAAATATATGTATTACTATAATTTTCAATAAAATGTTCAAAAAAATCTTCAAAAATTTTATTAATCTAATATTACTTATTTCAAATATAAATATAACATTATATTTACATTTGTGTATTTTTTTTTATCCAAAATTTCAACCATTTCATTTTTAAGTTAAAAAATAATTTTTTGTGTAGTTTTTTTCAAATAATTTATATTAAATCAACATAATTTTTCAATCATAGTAAACTTTTCATATAGTATTAAGAGTTTATATAAAAAAATTTGTAGTGTATTTTTAAGTAAAACTTGAATTTTAAAATTTTAATATTCTTTTAAAATATATATTATAGATTAGTATATTATATTCTAGGGTTAATAACACTTTTAGACACTAAAATATGCATATTTTGTCAATTTGGCGCTCATTACATCAATTTGATTACTAAAGTATTTTGTTAATGTTTAAATGATTCATATAGAGACAGTTTGTAAGTTTTTAAAAGAAATGATCACATGTTGGTCATGTGAACTATCTAACAAAATAACACACTTTCCGTCAAAATATTTAATAGATCATCTGGTTAGGGACCATTTAAACAAAAATTAAATATTTTACGGACCAAATTGATAAAATTTATAATACGAGTAATAAAAATATAATTTTAATAAACTGAGATGGTATTTAATATAGGTACACATATACCGAATATTTTTTATTAATATTTTATATATAAAAACTATTCACGTGTAACGTAAGTGGTGCATTAGTAGTTTTTTTAAAGAAATGTGATGGAGTTAATTCTATTGCTCACTAACTATTTATTTAAATACATTGCAGGATTAAACATTCAGATAGTCTCATTAATTATTTTCGTCCAGAATGTAATGATTTATGCAAAACTAAAATGCAAAAATTTCTTCGAAAGGCCATGAATTCGTATAGTTAGTCAGCAATGTGTCAATAACCACAATTTAGGAGAAACGCCCAAATCTCTATTCAAAATAAAAGTATTTGAGAAATATCCTAACTTTTCATCTTTGTTTTATTATTGTTGTTGTATTTCTTAGAGGCATGGTGATTACTCAAGTGATTAAATTGAGCTCCAATTGTAGGTTATTTGATGAATTGAGTTGAAATTATTTTACATCAAATTAATTCAACAAGTTTGAATTATTTTTTAAAGTTTTTGCAAAAAATAAATAATCCTATAATTCTTCATGTAAAATCAAAAGTTGTTAGTTTCCATACAACTACATGTTGGACAAAAATAATAACCCATTGAATGAAAAATCCTGGTTTGCCTCTATTTGCCTCTACTCATGCTAAATTCATGGCTCTATCCGTATAGAGAAATTAAGGCACACTAATCTTCCATAATTGAAAAATACAAAATTCTTGATATCATATTATTTAGAAAAAGTAGCGTTATGAAATCATTTGTGCCAGAATTCTTATTTTAAATTTTTTTTAGAATCAATTTTTATTTTATTTTATTCATTTTATCTTCAAATTTAATCATAATTTTTTTTTTTTTTGGTTAACCATAAATCTCTAAGATGAAATCTCCCCTTTTTGTGAAGAAAAAAAATTTGATATTTTTTTTTTTAATTACAGAGATACCTCCTTATTCTGAAATTACCTTATACCTCAGTGTCAGAGTGTATCCCACAGTGATTAGCAAAACATATTTTTTTAAATTTGCATTTATATATAACTAAAATTAATTTAATGAAAAATCCCCGGATACAAACACCACTAATGTTTCATTTGAGACAACACCGTAGGTGATGTCAGTATACTTTTCTTAACAAAAGGTGTTAGGATGGGGTGGGGGTAAAAGAAAGCGATCAAAGATCATTCTAATAGGTTCCCATTGATGGAAT